ACACAACAGCATAAATGCTGACAATTACAATATTTACAAAATCAGCAAACGAGCAAAAACACCCAACAAACAACTTAACAAAGACAAACAGACATGCATTACATGTATAAACATTACACACATCACATTTTACATTACAGTTGTCTTCCGTGCCTCACCCCCCCCCCCCCCCCCCCCCCCCCCATCGCGCCTCCTCAGTCAGTCAGTCATTGAGAAAGGTGCAAAAAGAAAACTGCAGGGGGCAGCAATAGTAACTATTGTTTCACTTACAGTACGTTGGTGTCGTTTGGTATCCCCTTCGGTAACTCCATCAAACCTCTATCGCTGCAGTCAACTATGCGCGGCCCGTGGTCGCTACACTCACATACCTCACACGCTTCCTTGCTTGCATAAACCGTACGCGTTGAGGTAAGAGTCGCACAGTGCAACAACATCAGACCTAAAATTAACTGCATGTACCAACCCCGCTCCATGCCTGCCTGTATACACGCAGAACGCTGGGTGTTGCACAGACCGTCTGGTTTCGAGTATGGTTGGGTTTAAACTGCAGTGTGTTATCGATGTTAAATGCTTTCAACGTACTATATTAAAAAAAATCTGAACAAAAGCACTTCTTGTTTCAGTCGAGATCATTTGTTGCAGGTCTCGAAGAGCTGCATGGTTAAAGTCGGATGGGGGTCCGAGGGAAATTCCCAGATTTATTTTGTATTCAATGACAACATCGTGACAAAAATGATCCATTGTTGCTAAAAATAGACCTGCAAACTTATTGAAGCGTAAAGCAGGAAACAACTGTGGTTTTGATTAATATCACCCCGACTCAAAATCTTATAATTATTAGTTTATGCGGTAACCGCATAAACTCGGGAGGTAACACACTGAGTATACAGTGTATAAACAACGGTAAAGGGCAAAACCTAATTTGAACTATAGTTTCGCTCCTGACTGCGGCCGAGCAGGAGGGAGTGTATTACACTAGTACAACTGCAGAATTTTAGAGTGCATTATTCTGTTTGTAAAAGGTCGTTCCAAGTGAATTGGTTTTGCTATATAAATATTGCTCCGTCAAATGCTGATTATAAGTCTTCTGGAAAGGAAGAAGGGCAAGGGGTTCTCCAGTCAGCTTATAATTCAACTTGTGGGGAACAGTTCTTGTATATTTCACCTCCAAAATTTCTCCTATCATGTCACCTGTCTAACCACCAACCATGTTTGACCTATGCTTGTCCATCTAGCATGTGCGTTTCCGCACTCCCACAGCGGTATTTGTAGGTCTGGCTGTATTTATGTAAGCAAACGAATGGTTATCCAACAGAACAGTGAACCCAACAAATCGTTAGCGTCACGAAGGGACGAATTGGGCCACGAATTGGGAGTCGAACATTAGTTTTGCGAAAAACGGGTTTTGCGTTGGTCATGTTTTAAAATAAAGTTTTCTGTCAATCATTGCACTCATTGCTCTGGGCAGGGGTCGTAACATGGTTTAAATATGGCAGGAGTAACTGTTTTGACTATGTCAATAGAGGTCGCTGTTTGTTTATGTATTTCCTTATACAGAATTGTTTGCGTTTTTACCCCACAGTTTCTCTTTTCCAAAGAAACTGTGGATCGGGAAAACAGTTTTTGTTTTCTTTTCCGATAGGATACATCAGAATCTACATGTCTGGACAGTTTAATCAATTTCGGCGAACCAGATCTCCTATCCCAAATACTAAATCGTTTTCGGCCTCTCCTCCCACGGACTACAGGTAGAAATTGGGCCGAATACATGAAAAGGCAATCGGCGACAAAGATCTTGTTGTTTTCTGATTTTTTTCTAATTTATTAAAGAGCGTGCGAAGATGAACGATGTGGTTGTGTATTCGGTGCAGAATATTAATATCACAATGTTTAATAACTAACGCAAACAAAAAATATGGTATCTTAAACACAATGATTTGCGATGCGCACCGACATAAGGGCGGCATCCGCCATCTTTGAAAATGGGATTATGTACATAAAACGAAGTAAATAAATCAAGAAAGCAGCTGGAGATGGTCATGAGTAATGAAGAAATGTACAATTCTAGGAAGGTTTTTAAACATTATTTAACATGACATCGATTCGTCTTAGAATTAACTTGTTCCGTATCTTGGGAATCTCTAAATGCTACTTAGATTACGGAACATATAGATGATAAACGACTCTACTAAACTACCAAAAACGATGCGTGACAACGGCCTGGATAGGTTGGAATACCATGAATACTTGTGTCAACTAACACCCAGACAACTTATTCACTGTGGGCAGCGGCCATCAAAATTGACTCGATCTTGTGCCGAATCCGTCAAGCCACCTAATATGTATGATCCTACATTGTTGGCATTTATTATTGAATGATCACAAGTGATAATGACCACATAACCATAATAACGTCGAGCGCCATATCTTTTAGCTTAAAGTTGCATTAGTGTTTCGGTTTCAGATCCATCTTACGAAAACGTTTTTAAGAAATCCTATTTGAAACCAAGTTTAGGTAAACGGTGTTCTTAGTGTAAATCCTTTAAAAGTAAATGAGGAAAACAAATATTAATGTAAACAAATGAATAGCCATTAAAAGAAATAAACAACTGAATTCCAACAAACACTTGTTTTCATAAACCATTTGTCTGCACACACACACAAATCCACCGAGGGAACTTATGACCTTTTGTATCAAAAAGGCAAATTAAATTAATATAAAACACAATCTCAACGCAAAAAAGGTGTCACATTTGCATTTTTTGTTTTGCAATTTGTGGGATTTGCTAAAAAAAAATTCTCCAAGGAGTTAAATGGCTTAGAATTTTATGAATATGTCCGTTTCCGATGTATGCAACAACAAACAAAATGGCACACGTTGAACATTTGCAATGTCCAAGTGTCAACAATTATGTCTTCCAAAACTCGAAAATAATGTTGTTTCTACCTTAAAACTCACGTGGGTTTGATTTTTTACAGACTTGAAGAAATGTTGCGTTGTAACCAACCTCAAATTATGATTTTTCTCAGCAAGATCTTTCTATTGCAACAAACTCAAGGACCGTTGCGAGATCTAACGGGTTTTAACGAGATTTCATGTAGGGCTCCCAGGTGTCGGTATTTAACATTCGATTTCAACGGGTATTAAAGCCCGTTATCACGCATCCAACCGATTAGGGGAAATCCGTTCAGTACATATTGTAATAGAGCTCAGAACGTTCATTCTTCTGTGTAGGATCCGTGCTTAGCTCCATAATTTGCTCAACATATACATCAGTTATCAATAAAACAATATCCAAAAATGCATAATAAGAAAGGTCAATGAGGAATATGATGGGCTAATGTCTACGTATATGATGGATGCTAAAAAAAGAAGAAGTGAAGTTACAACAAAAACATTACTACCTGTTGAGAGCGAAGACAAAACAATGTTGTTGAGTCTTCGGTTAAGTAAAAGCGCGCGAAAGACGGAACAAGCATAGAGGGTGTTTTGCTAATTTAAAACATTTACAAAAGGTAATTAAAGCAAGATTACAAAAGCGGGTTTAGCGTAAGCTCAAAAAAAAACTGGGGCTCTGAAAATAAGCATACACACCAATCAGGAGACTGCTTAAAAGTGTTTATGATACACCGTGGGTAAAGCATAATTCCTTTGCCTTAAATCATTAAGTCTACCTATATGTCTAACTGTGATGCTCTTCTTTAAGTTAACTTGTGCAATTGCCTTTATTTATATACCTTATTATTTCAATTTGCCATAGGGGGCCTAGATGCCATTGATGTCCTACATTTTCATTACAAACCAAAACGCCTTAGGGGGTGTCTTAAAGAAGCAAGACAAGTCTGACGAGGTCACCGTTGTCACAATACTTCTGAAAAGCCAACCAAAATAAAAAAACAGAAACCAAGTCTGGTATTGGAGATAGGTTACACGATAGTTTCGGTAAGAATAATTATTTGTTCTAAATAAACACATTTAGGTACTCCTCTTCGCACATAATCTGAATAACTGATCATCAAACTTTTAAGCAGAGCAAAGTAGAATCAAAGCCACGAAGAAATTAAGTTATTAAATTCATCCGATCCATGAAAGAATAATGGAGATAAAATTAGCAGTCATTCGTTAAACAATTAACTCTCTGCTCCATTCTTGTACATTTAAAAATATTTATATTTACACATTTACAATTGGTTGCTTGCGAACAGAACTGAAGGCAACAAAGCTAACATTTTCTGATATTTATCAAAATGACTATGATCTGACCATGATGCACAGGTATACGATTATCTCAAAGAAATTCTGACAATTTCCCCAAATCCTTTTAACTGTCACTTCTATGGAAAATATTCACAACTGATCTGTACCAAAAATATACAACACAAATTTGAAGATCATGTCTCCAAAAATGCAACATCTTTTCTTGCACTCCCCTGCCCACTTCCACAGCAAGTGTACACTGCACATGTGACCTATGTAGATATATACATATTCATGTATGTTCATGCACAGCGCACGCGCGCTGGAATCTCAAGGTATAAAGCCATCAGCCGTACCATGCGCATGTCCACAAACTAGCCGTCTCCGTGTAGCCTTATTTCACCATCAAAATAGCCTATACTAATGAACCCGTTGTGATCTGATTGGCCTTTTAATTTTAACTCGTGAACAACTAGTATGTTACACAATCTCTTGATGACGTTCAGATATAGTTATCGTCATAATGCTTTTCCGCGCACCGATAGTGACACCACGAAGTAGCACGCATGTACATGCAGGTAATAACTAGCAATCGGAGAAAACGGCATCTTCAGTTGAACGCTTTCTACAAGAGCACTTTCCTTTAAAGTTGCAGAGTATTGTCAGTTTGGCCTCTCGTTGTGGACACTTGATGTATTGAATGTATAAAATGTGCTGTTTTTACCCTCTGTATATTAAATAAACAATCAATACGAGAAACTAGACTGATGTTTGTGGACATGTATGGACATTATGTTTGTATTTACTCAACCGCCTGATGTTCTGATATGATATCTCCGTAAGGCCTTTCCACATATTCTTCGTCAACATCAAGGGAATGATCTGCCATGCTGTTCTCCACAAGAAGTCTGCCTGTGCCTTCCCTGTCCAGTGACTCGTGTCGACAGCACCACCAACGGACATTGCGGATGCATGTTGCCATACCACCACAGTACCCAGAGCGCCATAAGAACTTCATCAACATCCAGAGAAGACTTACTGTATAAAGAAAACCAAAAACGAAAAATTGGTACAGATTCTAATAGCCCTGTCCTAGCTGTCAATCAAATAGTGCTCATTGACCAATTAGAGTATCACTCATGGTCAAGTTATTACAGTAGTCCTGTCAATTGTGCCTCGAGCACCATACAAGATGCACCAACGAACTGTCTACAACAATCAAGAATATTGATTTATTTAAATGCGTACCTATGACAAACACAACGATGCTTAAGATCAGCAGATCCATGATAACCGCAGCAACTTCAGTTCTCGTTGTGCCACCTCCAGTAGGAGACAGGAGAACAGTAGCTGTCAGGAGACTCAGGAAGATTGCTGCCAGGGAACACATCTGTAGACGGTTATCGGCGGCATGTTTCATCGGTGTCACACGTGCATGTAAGAACAGGAACCCAGCAGATATGACGATGGTTACAAACATGGTTAAAGGATCAGCTGGGCTTAAAATCCGCACAAACAGCGTTTGGGTGACCTTGCGGAAAAGCTCAACAATTTCCCAGTACCAGAACTCTGCTTTATAGTTGCCACTGAGGAAACTTTTCCAGCTGATGTCGTTCTCACTTTGCTGGTTTGGGTTTAGGAGGTTGGTGCCTGATTGATTAAGTGTGGAATCATCTTCATTTATTGGTAGCATAGGGACATTTGTAACATTGATGCTGTGGTTACTCAGATCATCTACCGATGATTCACGCGAAGGCTGCTCCTGCGATTTCTTCCTCTTGTCTTGTATGTTGCTTCTCCACAGAAGTATTAACAGCAAGAACAGAAAGCCACCAACATAGCAGACAGAAGAAGCCTCGGCAGCATGGCTGAAATGAACATACTGCTCGTCTTGACAGTCGATAGAGTAATCGGATCGAAGTCTCGTAGTACTGTAGGTCTCGTTCTCATCTAGATAGAACTGGTCGCAGCCAGGAGGCAAGAGGGTGAAGATAACACCGGATAAGCCAGGATAGGACACAAAGAGAAGCATAACAACAAACAGATTACATATCTGCCTTGTAGTTGACAAAACCTTGTCACGCTTTTCAACAGTGCATTTCTTGACCGCCAAGTAGCATTTTGAGACCCAATAGACGCACAGTGCTGCCAACACAACGAACGCAACGAAGCTCATCCCAAACAAATACTCAATGTACACATTGCGGTAGGTGAAGTCTGGAAAGTAGCAGCGGGGACTGATGACCAGTAGGACAATTTTCATCTCCAGTAGTTTCAAAAATGACCCAAACTTTCTCAGAATATTCGTCCAGGGAATCTCGTCAAGAGCAGAGAATATCTCGCCCATTACCTGATAGAAACCCAGCAAGATTTTCCCTCTAGCAAATATTACATCAACGGCAGACCGTCCTTCTCTTCGGTTTCTCCGCACATCCCAAGCGATGAAGCCTATTACCACTGCCAACACGACCAACAAAAGAACGATTTCAAGTAAGAACCACCACCACTGCGGACACTCATTACAACTATCAAAGCTTGCATAAAACCCCTTACAGCATTCAGAGCAAAGCCAACCTTCATAGCCAACCTCACAGGTGACATTGATACCATCACCTTCATTCAAACAAGACTCCTTACGTGGACACGGGTGCACCTTAGGCAAAACTCCCCTAAACTGCTGAGTGTTGCTATTGTAAGAATCACTTCTGTTTCTAATGTTGACAACGAAATGTTGATAAGCTTCGTAGTTGCTGTTTGAACCCCAGTCCCACGTCCACCAGAATCCAGGTAAGAGGTGTTGATACTCCTCTGAGCAGTTGAGACCTTCGTCTGGGCAAGGATAACACTCACCAAACCGATCTTTGCGGTAGTAATTATCAAGACAAGAGCATGCGCGGAACCCTGCGTGGAGACTTTTATTGGTACCTGTAGGACACACCGTGCAATCTGCAGGGCTGATACCAGGGTGAGCAGCTGGGGTGACGAAGGTTCCATTGTTGCATTTTTGACACTTGATGGGTTGTGATATGTCGGCTACTTTTCCAGTCTTGATTTGGTAATAGCCTCCTGCGATTCAAAGATAATACATGTAACTCTATTAGAATTGATCACACACAAAAACACCTCAGTGCTATTGGACACTTTTCTTCGACTGCATATATGGCTATTAACGAGTATCATGAAGAGTTGCAAACTTTTTTTAAAATTTTCTGAATATACTGAGCACTTGTTGTGCTTCCTTTGGCTGACTTACGAGTATGTCCACGAGAGGACCATGCAGACCGTGACAAGGTGGGGGTCGGCGGATTTGGTTAAAATTTGGGGGGTAGGTGGGTCATAGGTAGCCTTGAGGTTGTACAAAATATTTGGCCAATCTGACCTCCGTAACAGAAAAAAGAGCCAAAAATATGTTTTTATTAGTGAAAAATGGTGATTGTTATGGTTTTGGGGTACACAAGTTTAAACGCTTGCTGCTCAACAGGGGAAAGCAGCAGAGAAATGAAATTTGCAGGGTCCTGAGGTTGTATCCTGACCTAAACTAGGGACTCAAAATTTAGAAAAAAATTGCTCTTAGGAGGCAACGGCACTAAGGGTACCCCCAAAGTTGAGTCATAGAAATAGCGATCTTTAAGTCGCCGTAGCGTCATTAGTGTAGGTCTTTGAACAATGACAATCAGGTGAAAGAGAGTTCTTATCATGGTCTTTAAGTATCAAGAATAAAAACATTGTCAGCAGTTTTGAGTATGAAATGGCAGGAGCCAGTTTTACCCCTATTTTTCGCTAGTAAAGGGACGGGGAGGGGCATACAGTGCCCCCCCCCCCCCCTTTCTGTATTTTCAAAAGTCGTCAACCAATTTTCATGAAATTTGCCACCAAGTTTTATTTTTCCAATTTGTAAATAATTACGTCAAAAAGTTTTTAAAAAACTTTAAAAAAGAGGGCGTTTTGGGGGCACCTTTTTGGTAAAAAAATGTATTTTTCACATAATTTTTGTCTTTTTTGCTTGAATGTTGTGAAAATTGGCAAACGTGTATATTTGTTCATGATCAATAAAATTAAAACCTATTTTAATACTGGAGACGTCATTAGGGGTGCTATAATCCTTTAATTTATCCCATTTTTAGGGTAGGGGGGTCACTTTAAATCAATATGGCCGCCACCTCTCTTTTTAGAGGATGTATACCCTGCCCGATTTGTGGCAGAGGGAGTCCCCACAAATGTTCCTATACTCAACACACACTTGTCTCTTTGTTAACAGAAGTATCCCCCAATAATCATCTAAAGAATTCCTGAGATTACCAGAACACAATGAAGACAGAATGGGGGTGGGGGGGGGGGGGGTTACACCCTGCCAAATATCGTGCACCATATGTGGGAATGATGAGGCTTGGATGACAATTGGCTTTTTTGGCATGTTAATGTAACCCGGAAAATTAATAAACTTGGAAAATAATAAATTGAATGAGAAAAACGCTAAATGTTGGGGTACTCGCTGTCAAAAATGAGATAGACCTAGATGTGGTAGGAACAAGTAGAGAGGAATTTGAATAAATATAAACAATTACAAACAAATTTTTAGAAAGGCAACAAAAAAAGAATGATTTATTTTACTAACCAAAATTTGAAGAAAACCATTCAAAAAAACCAATAATCAAAAAGGATCCAAATTAACTTTTTCCCAAACCTTAAACCTGTTATCCACACAACCAAATAAGTAAAATGGTAGAACTACAGTTGACTTTTGTTATAAAGAGCACTTGTATACAGATGTCCTACTTCTGCTTATAAAGAGCAAATTCTGAGGTCTCAAATCTCTAGTTCTCTTTGTGTCTCTTTGTTTCGCTGTCCTTTTAAAGCAACATTTCTGTTTAAAGAGGTAGTTTCGGCGGTCTCACCGACCTTGCTATAACAAGAGTCAACTGTACAAAACTAAATTGAACTTTAAACTTAAATGGAAGTTGAAAGAAGAAAACTGAACCAACACAGTATCAAAATAGAATGACACATGGAACAACCTAATGATCAAACTCGAAACAAAATTTGAATATAAATCAAGAAAATCGTTTTCCTTCTTAAATTAACATTAAAAAACAAGAACAGTCACTGTCTTCCAATAACAAACCATGATAACCTTTTGTTTAAACACAAAATACGTAAAGGAAGAGAACATGGAACCACTAATGCAAAAATGTTGGTAAAAAAGGATGCAATAAAAAAAATGAAAACGGGTACTACTATCAAAATCTTGACCACTTTGTGATGATTCAGCAGTTGTTTCACCGATGGTAATCTTTATGAGCCCATCTTCTTGACCTGGTGCTAAACAATGAAGAACTAAACCAAAGGCTTCCTTTGCCTTCCTTCTATAATAACGGATGGTCTTATCAGATGCTTCTTCTAATGACAGACGAAGCTGCCCATCAACAGCAGACATTCCACCCTGAGTAAGGAAAGTGTTCAGGGATTGCAGCTCCACATTCTTTGGTCGGGGGGTTGGATCCCAAGAAGAGTCAAGTGCACCTACATCCTGTGTAATATCTCCATCAGTTGATGTGGACTCAGGTGAATGCTAGAAATAATCATGAGAAAATAAAAACAGTGAGATGCGTGCTACATATAGCAGGGTTGAAATACAAATGTATGTACTCAAAAAAGAGTGCTTACAATTCATCTGTGATAAATGAGATGCAATATGTCAAGGTCCATTCTTAGTTCACTCTCATTACCTCATGAACTGAAGTGCACTCTGTGTCGGTGGGTTGGAGAGATGGTACACCAGCCGGCGATGTGAAATCTCTGATTGTACACTGCTGCCCTTCTTGTTCCTTAGTGAGCACATCGCTAGGTGGTAATTGTTCCGCTGTCTGGTGCGTAACTGCTTGTTTGTGCTTAGATAGACCACCTCTACAGATACCTGAAAGTCATATGAATAGTGAGAATTAACAAAGTGTCAAGGCCGCAGCAGGCTCAATATTTTTTTAAAAGTAAAAGGTATAAAGCGGGGCGTATGTAGCCAACAATATTGAGCAATAGATGCCTTGAACAAAACCCATGTCATAAATTCCCCCCCCCCAAAAAAAAAGAAATAAGAAGAAAGCTTCTTCTGAAATTGTTCTTTTAAGTTGTAAATGGTCTGATGAGTCACATCTCATGAATAAAAGTCAAAAAAGCAATGTAAGTGCAAAACAAATATTTGTTTTATTCCCCAAACTGCGCATGTTTAGTGCAGTTCCAACTTTCTTTATATAAAAAAATCAAATCCAGCTCCGGCTAAATATCCACCATGTGTGTCTACTGCCGAAAACCATGTGTGTGGTCCAGAGCTGTGACAACCAGTATTAATTTTTCACACAATAATAAATTTCACTGGTCCCAAGTCAACTGCATGATAAGGGATTTAATTGATATAACCTACCCAGGAACAAAGTCAGTTGATCAGAAATGGACCATGACCATGATTGATTCATTTCAGAAATGTATTTTTGTTTGATTTCTGTCTTCTTACCTGTTCCAACAGTGATCAGGGTACCCCATCGATCAAACATCTATGATCTCACGGCTAGTTGCTTTATTCACCACGGAATGGTTTGCCTTTCCCTTTATGGAGTGGATGACAACATTTCCTTGATGATGTCCAACTCAACCCTAACTTGTATCTAGGCCAATGCGCATGACACATTGTCTTATCGGTATATGCATCGACGTCGAACAAACCACATCGCAGGATCACTTTCCACTCGACATTCACATCATATGCAGCGACTTTCCACTTCTGCAAATGGCTCCGTATGTTTTTTGTGCATCGATTAAGTTGCACTGTATTTAGTTCGCGCGGATAAGAGGGATTTACACCACATTCGATGGCTTTGCAATACTCAAAATTACTAAAATCACATTGCTGCCGCACAGACGGCATGTCCATGGCAGCCATTTTGACAGTGATGTAATGCAAGAGCGCCCTCTTTCGATACCGTGCGCTACTGGGTGGGCGGCAACAGGACGTTCCCCTCCTACCGGATCAGTGCGCACCACCAAAGGTAGCTCACTCACCCACCCACCCAATAGGTGAAGTGTGCAAAATGTAGATTTTGTTACGCTCTTACAACAATTCCTGCAAATGTCAATTAAGGGCAACCAATTGCACTCGGAACTGTCTAGGGGGCTATGAAGGTTTGGTCTTGAAAATTAGGAATTTTTCAACTTTGTTGACCGTGAGCAAAAAAAAACAAGAAGAACTGCCATTTTTTTTATTTTTTTTTATTATTGTAGTCGGATATCTGAACTATGTTACTTCCAAGTTTGTTGCCTCTCTGCCCTGCATTAATTAAGTTATGGTTTACTGCGTAAATGGACTTTATTTCGTAATAGAGCTGAAACATGTTTTTCTTACGCCTATATCTCCGCAGTGAATGCTTGCATATCAAAGATTTTTATTTCATCGTTTAGAAGAGATTAAACCCTTTCTTTTGATATGTAGGTCGACAGTAAACGTTTTAGTTTAAGGGAATAAACGAGGCTATAACTTTACACCAGAAACAACACAACTTTACTCCCCGGAAGTCACCCTTTTTTGCTCAAAATTGTTGGTGCCCCGTACTCGGCCACCGTGTGATTATTTATCGAGCTACTCCACCGAGTGGTATCGTCTCAGGTGGGGATCAAATGGCCAAGATTTGAACTTAATTCGCTGACCCCCCACCTTGTCGATTTTTCAAGATTTTGCATGGTCTTCTCATAAACGCACACTTAATCACGTGGGGAAATGTCCTCCTAATACCAGGACGCCACTTCAAAATTAAGTTAGGTTAAATCGTTAGGTTCAAGCTCACACGCATGTTCCATGCCCGTTGGTAAAAGAAACAGTTGGTGCACAGACTACCTACAATCAGATAACTTGTGCAATGACTTGAACAATTAAGGATACCGTGATTGTTTCAAATTTCCTTCAAAAATATTTTAAAAAAATTATAAGAGCAGTTTACCGGGTGGGCATGCTTTACACACGTTGCTCCATGGATCTCCATAATATCCTTGGGCACAGGGCACACATTGCCAGAAATCATCTTTGTAGACAGATTTTGAACAGGAGAATCCAGATTTATTGAAGAAAAGTGCAATTGTCCTCGATACAAGTATCGGTAAGGCGAACCCATCACCAACCTGTTCGCTGAAAGTAAAAAGTACACACGTTAACTCTAGGCCTATGTCTTTTTTTACGGTACCCTGTGCCAATACAAGACAGGTCAAGTCTATAGGGTTCATGGCATGAACTTTCCTTAGGACCACATTATATGCAGCGTTCTGCTCTTACATTTATGCAAACTACTTGAAATCCTTTTTTGGGGTAAATTTTCTTCAGAAGTGCGTTTTTTAAACGTTTCAGATGTCCTTGGTTTTCCTTATAGCTAAGAGCACTGTTGTTGTTATTTTGGGAAGTCACAGATTAGTTTGGAGGTTTTTGTTCAACTTGAATGAACAAAATGAATATGTGATTCATATGTGTAGGCCTATATTCAAGGATTGTATTAAAAAAATGATATAAAGAGGGGGAGGAGCTAGACGGGGGTAGGGAGAGAGTGGGGGAGGAGGGGGTGCACAAGAAAACAACTCCTTGTAACCTTTTAGTAATATTTACGTAATGAGATCACGAGAGATCCTTACATTTTCAGGTCAGTCCGATTAGTGGCAGGCGCAAACTGGAGGGTATTATCAACAGCCCTGAGAATAAAGAAACATAATGTAATGGTGCACGCTCAAAACAACTCCAAAATATATATTTTTGGGTTGAAAAATAAGTTTTTACGCGTGTAACCTTTGAAAACAATCGAAACACGTAAAATGATTTAATATTTTTTTTTAGTTTAGATATGCTACAATTAAAGACAATAAATGAACATGAAGGAGATGTAGCAACAGTAACGGTTTTGGCATCATGGTAGTTCCAATAAAGGTAAACTTGCAAACGAAAAGTTGAAAACTTACACGTAAGCGTTAATACCCAAATCTTGCCATACGGCATCGGAAATATTTTTTAAGTGACTGTCATACAGCGATCTGAAAAATAAACAACGGAAAAGTCAGAATTAGTCAATGTTCAGCCATAACTGTTTGATAACACGTGGGAAATCACATACAATTAAAAGTGCATGCCGTGACAAAAAAATGGTTGTATACTGGACTCCTTTCAGTGAAGTAAACAATTACAGAAATTGGATTTATGTACTTACACCTGCTTGATCGTGTTATTGACAGTGGCAAATGGCCTCTCTCCAATCGATGAGAAATTGTTTTGGAACATGTATCTAAAATAAAAATTGGAAATTCACGATAACTTTTTTTCTTATTAAGTTTACAAGCAATGGCTAATTTGTTATAATGTCACGAAAACGGGGTTTTCGGAACATTTGTTTTCGTCTTTGGCTACAGCTTTGCCTCCGACCTCAGAATCACCATGACCGAAAAGCAAACCAAATGGAAAAAAAAAATAGTTCGACCTTTGGCCTTATCCTACGATAAAATGCTCCTGAAGCACAACAGGCACCAGAACGTAATTGGAGTTGGGAGCATAAATTCGTCCTTAGCCAAATTCTCAGACGAAGCCAGGTTTTCGAAACGGCCACGTATAGTGTATGAATTGACAGATCCAATAGGCTCCGCGCACTACGCACAACGTATTTGCCAACGTATTTGCGTTCCTCTAATGTCAATTTGCAATGCAATACCACACTGCAATATGTAAATCAGGCTTTCATGAAAATCGGACTCCTTTACTATTGTTTTGGTTAAACCCTCTCATTCTATTGATCGCTTTTCCAATTATCTTTGCTTAGGCATGCGCACAATTGCCAATGAGTCCGTGCTTCATAGAAGCCTAAATTCACACTACACCGGACGCGCGTTATGTAAGTGCACACAATGTTGGACATACAACGTTGCTGTAATTGGTGAAAGCTTCATGGGGCGAAGCTTTGTACGTATATTTTGTTTGGCTTATCGTTGTAATTCACGTGACGTCGCAGTTCAGTAGTTATGACCCACTTCCCGCCACATTGGACGTCTACGGTTACAGACTAGCAAATAATCCGCCTTAAACTCAAGGGATATGCCCACATCCGAAATTTAGGAGCAACACTTTTTTGAGTTATCATGATGGCAGACCACCCAACCCAACCTAACCTCAACCTTTGCACCAACTACCAACATGTATACTTACATATTTATAAGCTGTGTGTTATAAAAAAGCCCGGCTTGTATCTCTACGAGAGGATTGCCAAATGCGAATCTATCAAATAACAAAAATAGCAGGTAAGTTGGTGGTAGGCATAAATAGTGTATGTTCTTTACATTAGGCCAAATATGATGGGACTAGGCAAATTATTTTAAACCCTTATCACTATACAAAGGCAAAATAAACCATTGTTAGGCAAAACCAAGACAGATTTTGGCCATAAGGAATTGCAACCGCTTGGGCGGGGCGATTTGTCTCTTTGTGGTTCTGGTAGGATCGACATATTATTATAATATAATATATCCTATAAGGATTCAAAGACATATGCTGTCTGTTTAATGTCTGTCTGTATGTCTCATGTCTATGTGCCACTAACAAAAAACCTGCAGAGTGTGCGTAAGCACAAAATGTATGGGTAAATTGAGAAGCTTTGTTATTGCATGCAGGTCCTGAAATGGTACGGTATATCCGATTTTTCTGTTCGCTTGGGCCACGATTGGCACTTGAAAAACATTATGTGTGTTTCCTATGCAAATTTGTTTCTTTCAGACTTTGAACAGTTAAATATTACAACATTAAACTTGGGGTCAACTTGCAAATTGAGGTCAAAAAAATACATTAGTATAATATGACTCCATCCAGCAGCGGCTGCCGCGCGTACGCTGTCATCCCGCTAGTAGAACATAAGGAAAATGACTGTATTTGTACGACCGTGTGTCTTGAACTTGGGAGCAGCGAAGATCTTCTTTTCACTCAAAAATGACTGAAATCTATATTTTTTTTAAATTGAAAATGCATACTAACGATAATACTCACAGTTCTTCTAGAGAGTGCAGATCGTTGAACATCGCTCTGTTGAGGACCCTGATTTGATTGCGTTGCATGTAGAGTTTCCTTAGCTTAGTCTGATTGCGAAATAAGCCATCAGGGATGGATGGGAGGCGATTGGAGCTCAAGTCGCTTCAAAATATGAACAAATTGAGGAAAAAGGGAAAGTCAAACAAATGCACAACTAAAACTATACGTGAAGTGTTTTTGAGTCAGCAATGCAGGTTAAAATGGACATAGTGAATGTGCACTTTTTTCTTTTCTTTTATTTCTTTTTAATGGGGTGGGTTTGGTAAAGAATTGCAACTAATGGACTTGATGATCGTCCCTCTGGGGAAAAAAAAACAATGGTATAGTAAGGGAGGAGTACAGCTGTGTACCCATGCACCATCTTTGTATATTTTCCTCACCTTACTTTTGTAATCCCTAAGGTATCTAGTAATTGAATTTGGATGTTCCCAACATCATTGTCCCATTGGTGTTCGCTTGGAGGCTATATCTTGGCGGCCACCTCGGATTTCGTTGAAAATTGGTTATTAGCATAACACATTTTGCCATATAACTGGTTAAATGTATTATTCTCGGCGCAAAATCCTATTGATTGCTATTTATGGAGTTAAATATCTCTACAGCATACAATTCGCAAGAGTATCTTGATTAAAGAAGGTTGTATGCAAATTGGATTCTCAACACCCTTGGGCAGCCAATTAGAACAGAACATCGCTTGCAGGACGTGAGCAAACTTCATTGCGGACGTTCTATTAACTCCCCTTTGTTTTTGCCGCGCTATGATTGCGCGGCAGCCAATCGGCGTATTGTATTTTATCGGAAGAGCGTACGTAGCTTGAGCCCTTGCGGTGAGATTCACTTTTAGTCACGGATACAAACTAAAAACATCAACGCTCGATTAAAACATTTCAAACATGCTAATCTCGAATCTACATGTAGAGCCTATGATTTTCCACAAGGGCTATAGCCCCACTGTTATATCACCTTGCTTGTTGACTGGTTTTATAGCTTGAATTAATATTGAATTAATATGCTTTGACAACGGCCGTTGTTGGTGGGTAGTGTTCAATGGGTACCCCTATCGTAATTGTGGTCTTGGGTATCACAATCAGTTTTCTTGTGAGCATCAAACTACGTGAGGCAGTCATGGGTACCTCCTAATGTCTAATGTTAATGTTACTGTGGTTTATGCATCCGGTTTGCCCTTAATCTTTGGTATTCCGGTTAAATAAGGTTGATTAAACAACGAAACTGTGGCGAAAGACACACTTTTCTCCTGCGCGATTCATTTTTGTAGTACGAGTATAACAGACAAAATGAACCCAATTTCGGGGTAATTTGCATGTAGGGAATCGATTGAATGTAATTATTTAATGACAGTAACAAGTAAAACATCTTATAATGTATAATTGGCACTCAGAATCTGGCAAAACACATGCTATAATTCGTCAGATCAGTACGCGACATCGCGTAGCTGCAAAATGCTCAGTGAGAACGTGTATCGGACGCTAGTTCAGGCCCTGTTTTTCTCAAAATACGCAACTGAATCTGAGCTGAAGCCTTATCGGGTTACGTTTTTAGCAACCTTCTTCAGATTTCGAGCACTTTTGTTGCTTCAAACGAACACAATGTACAAATTACAAATGATGGAAAAACTCGATGACCATGCAGCCGCGTACCAAATTTTGTTAAAGTTCCCTGCAAACCTCACTTTTCAGCCACTTGCGGACATCTCTAGGAATGGCAAATGTTAAGGAAGTGAACACATAAAGATAAAAGTCAGGAGTGAAGCCCCAATGTCTCAAATAAGAGGCCTTGACACCGCGATTCATCACCTGCTGAATCAACAACTCAAAGATAATTCAGCAGTTTGTTGACAGTCTTGGAGAGGCTCTGGAAGAACTACAGGGGGTGATGACGTGTGAAATTCAAGTGGGCCCAACTGCGTGAGGATCTACAACCTCGCTACCTCTGCCTACGGGAAGAGAGAACAGGATGTGAGTGATGCAAACATCGTCACTTTGAAGGAAAATTAAGGAAACAGGTGCGATTATAATACCTATCCCAGAATCTCTGCTCAGTCGGTAAGGACCTGCACACGTGTTGTCCTGACCTGTCTACAGAGCATGGCGTCACGTGTCAAACCTGGATCACGGTGTAGCTTCACAGATGTGCTCTTCTCACTTCGCCAGCTGCGGGAGAAGTGTCAGGAGCAGCAAACTCCACTCTTTACTGACCTCATAGACCTGACAAAGGTCCTCGACATGGTCAGCAGAAGTGGGCTCTTCAAACTGCTGCAGAAGATTGGCTACCCTCTAGGTTGCTTGGCATGATAACATCCTTCCACGATGGCATGCACATCACAGTGTACTTCAACGGTGCACCATCCGATGCCTTCCCAGTGAGAAGTGGAGTAAAACAGTTATGCGTGTTGGCTCCCACTCTCTGCGGTATGTTCTTCTCCGTACTCATACAGTGCACTTTTGCAGAAGGCATCCAGGGTGTCTAGCTATCACTATACCCAAGCTGATGGCAAACAATTTAACACTGCTCGCCTTCACTCCAAAACTTTGCGAGGTCCTCATCCGCTTGCTGATGATGCAGCGTTGGATTCCCACATTGAAGCCAAGCTCCAACGGATCATCGATTGTCTGTCCCACGCCTGCCATCAGTTTAGGACGACCATCAGTCTGAAAAAAACCCCGTCATGGCCAGGAACATAGACCACCCTCTTTCCATCACCATCGACGGGAACGTTCTTGAGGTGGTGAATACCTTCACCTACCTTGGTTCAGCCATCTCCAGCACACTTTGTCTTGACACAGAGGTTTAAAAACAGAATAACCAAGGCCGCAGCTGTCCTAACGAGACTGAGAAAGAAAGTCTGGAACAACCATAAGGTGACTGTCAACAGTCACCTAATGTCACCTCATTTTGTCGATGCCTCAACACTTCACCCCGGTTGTGCAGCCAGGACAACCTTTGCTGGTTCGAAGAAGAGACGTAATAGCTTCCACCTCCGATGTCTCAGTCTCATCCTTTGCATAAGCTGGCGGGATTGAGTGACCAACACGGCGGTTTTACAGCGCCCTGGTATCCCGAGAACGTTTGCACTCCTGAGCTTGAAACGTCTTAAATGGCATTGGCCATGTAAAGATCATCGACTCGGTCGGCTTTGTGATGAATTTACAATATCTACAGAGCGCCTTTTTATCCGTTGTGATGACATCTGCAAAAAGAGAGCTGACTGTACACAACAGAGAATGCAGGAAGGTGTGAGGTGGGCTGAAAATGACTTTCTTACTGAAAAGGAAGCCAAACGAAAGAGCGGGCAGGTTCATCTGAGGCGCCTATAATGTCTTCATATATTGCCTAAATCAAAAGTTATGCCGACTTACCGATTTTTGTCGAAATCCACGATGGCTGCCAAGATTGCTGCTAAACTACCACTTTCAATCTATTCCTCACACTCAAATCACCTCGAAAATAGTGTTCATTTGTCTTCCTGTGATGCCTGATTCAAAGTTATGTCAATAGCCGATTTTTGTCGAAATCCCAGATGGCCGCATATATGGCCACCAAACTAACCCCATTAAATAATTGTTGATTTTGGGGACATCAAAATTGTTTACTAGACATCTTAAGGAAAACAAAAGCAGGTGAAAAATATAATTATATCCAACGGTTGCATGGGAACCTTATCTTCCTCATAGCAAAATAAGGTTAGGACTCGCCTGATATAGGCAAGTTGTGCATGCAACTATTCAACTCGTACATATCTTAAATAGTGTCAGTTACTTAGACTGTTTCATATTTGACCCTTTTTGGAAAATGGAAGCGCCACTCTTCCTCGACTCGGGATGCTATGGTAATTCTACGAGGTACAATGTTATGCAAAATCTTACAACACTCCAGTTAATGTTGTGTTGACTAGCAGATTCTCTGGTAGAAAAACTAGGTAGTTTTCTGCTATGATCCTGTGTTAAGGAAACAAATACAAAAACCCACTTATTGGTGACAATCTTTTAAAAGAAACGTTATTGAGAAAATGTTTTCAGGTCTAATTTGTTACGATAACGGATCTCGTTGGAATATTTTTTTTAACAATCATGTACACAGGTCCTGCAGTCAACGACGACTATAATTATTGTATTATAACATCTCAGATATCAGATTCTGTGTCTTGATTGGCCGAGAGCGAGTCACATGTTACTTTCTAATTTTGCTATCTTTCTGTGCACGGCCCAAAGTACTATGCGCATAGCAACCAAAGTACTATACCATTAGCAACCAAAGTACTACTTCCACGGCACGGTATTTGTGTGCAAATGCATGCTGGTGTGCGCGTTGCGCGTTGTGCGTAGCGCGTATTATTCCAAAGAGAGCGCGCCGCAGACTTGGGTTCAAACATTTCGTGAAGGGTTAGTTTTTAAGAGAGAAATACATTTTCCACCAATTTTGTATTGAAATTGAAGTTTATTTCAACTGTGTTCAGATTTAAATAATGTAAAATATTAAAATCAAGCAGAATCTGTGGGTGAAGTGTTATAAAACAAATATTGAATGCTTTATCTCGTGGTGAAGTTAAACTAGCCTCCCTTGGTGATCCATGGACCATTCTATTTTCCCTCGGCTTTGCCTCGGGAAAATAGAATGGTCCATGGATCACCTCGGGAGGCTAGTTTTACTACACCACTCGAAGCATTCAATATTTGTATACTATTGTCATTTAGGCAAAAACAAACATGAATGAGAAGAAGTGTACTGCACTTACAACTTTCCGATTTCAGTCGACGCTTCAAACAAACCCTCTGGTAGAGTCGTTAGATGATTGTTCTGCAATTCTCTTAATGTTTTTACAGAGATGTAAAATGAAAAGTCTATCATTTCAAGCTACCACCTGTACATTTATGTATTTGTCTAACATTGAAACAACAAACTCTTCCAATTAAAGAGAAAATACAACATTTGCAAACATGAAAAAATAAAACTACCAAACTATTTTGAAAAACCTTGCTGGACTGTTAGTGAATGACAGTCTAAAGCATATTGTAAAATCATGGCACCTGTTGTGCTGACAATTTTAAGAAGAGTGGTATTTTTGTATCAATTTCCAACGCTGGTCGGCCGACCACCGTTGAAAAAAAAACTTTTTTTTTTTCAAATATTGGCCCCAATTGACCATATGGAGTTATTCCGCATTTGTTTGAAATCGATTACACACCTATATAAACGGGTACAAACCAGCTAGACTGGTTCCCTAACTTAGTTCCCCAATGTCTATATATTGCTCCGTTTCATCTTAAATGGAGTCTGTGTAACAATATTTGCTATATATTACCAGACCCCCCCCCCTCCAAATCCTTCCATTTTTGAAAATTACAGCAAAAGCAAATGATGTATAACCCATTTAAGTGTCGGTCAAGTGAAGCATACACTATTAAGTGGATAAAATATGTGCGCCGGAGGTTTTTATCACTTTGTTTAAGACCGCTTAGAGTCTGGGTGCTGATAAGTGATAAATACCGACCGAGCACATATTTATTCCCATTCATAAATACCTTTTCGGTAAAAACAAATCAAATAATTCGTTCAAAAATCCCGATTTTGTTCAACAAGTTCACTTCATGCATTTTGAAACATCCCTCTAGCAAAATAATGGAGTGTTCAGCTGGCAAGTAAGATGTGAACAACCCTGGGGCTTTGCGTTTTGAATTAAGAACTATACAATTCTGACTCGCTGGTAGTGTTGCGCATGCCTACGTGAGAATTGTGTACGTTCAACAAATAAAACGGTAAGAGGCACTGGATTTTTAGGAGTCCACATTTTATTGTGACACAGGAAAAGTGTTTAAGACAAGCTAGCCATGTCTTAATCATCCGTTTAAGACCGGCCACTTGACGGGCTCTCGACCAATAGGAATAGCTAAACTGTCTGAGGTATTTATGAATATTTATTTAACATTGACGACGAAGTTTACTTACAACTTGTCGAGCTTTTTAACACCATTAAAAGCTCCAGTGGCAACTCGGCTAACCCCGTTGGTCGAAAAAGAACTGAAGCAGGAGAGACAAAACAAACACATTACCAGTATGTATTTCAACAATTCCACTTTTATCGAATATGCCAATTTGCAGTACAACTTAATAAAGGGTTTGTCACCCCCATATTTTTTAGTTGTTTTGATAATCTGTCTTGAAGGTTTTAGGAAAAGCTCCCAAAAAGCAGAAAAGTAAGACAATATCTAGATACTGTTCGCCATCAATATGTTGACAGTAATACTTACCATGTTTTGATTTCTGTCCTATGTTGTTTGTTTGAGGGATCCACAAACAAATTAGGTGGAATCTCGGAAATTGTGTTGCTAGCCAAAGATCTGGAAAACATTAACAATTGAGAACACGTTTTGAACAATACTTCTTTCTTTTACTGAGAACAAAGTTCAATGCGGTTATATTATCATGTCTTTTTCCTTATTTTTTTTTCAAAGGATATGCATATAGCCCAAAATCTCTGGTCAAAGCACTTTAAACTTTATATTTACGTGTTTTTTTTTACATCAAATTTGAAATTTCTTTTCCAAACGAATGCATACTCACAGCCAGCTGAGGTTGTCGACTCTACCAAAGGTGTGTGCCTTTAACAGTTGCAAACCGTTGTATCGTATCCATCTGTAATGAATAAAACGTAACTTTTAAATTCAAGGTTCAACGATCAAGGGTATCGTCATCTGTCTTGGCCAACCCGTGGTTAGCACTTTATGACTCAACGGTTTGGCAGATTGTAAGGTTATAACGTTGTTAAAATAAAGAATACATGTAGTTCACATGTTTCCAAACATATCTTTGGATTGTAGTTTACATATTTCCAAACATATCAACGGAGTGTAGAAAATAAAAAAAGTACCAACAAATGCTACCAAAGACAAATAAATATGCCTATTTAATCTAACACGAGAAATGTGTTTATAATCAAATAGTTTGGTGGCGCAAGGCTTGCATATATCTCACGCACGTCACTTCTGTACGTCGTTTGATGTGCGCATGTTATGGAAACCTTTATTTGTCAAATAATGCATATTATATAACTAACTTACAGATCCTTGCCATGTGGTTGACGGAACTCACAGCACGTGACATTCAGTATTGCTCCCATACACGCCGGGGTTCAAAAAGTCCCATTTGCTCATGGAGAATGGGATGAATTATATAACCGACATGCATGTCGTTGTCATTTGATTGGAGGAACTCACGTCACGTGATATTCGTCATCGCTCCCATTCACGCCGCGGCTCAAATAAGAAATAGGAAATACTATTCAACTGTTAGGATCATGACGCGGTATGTGTGCCCAAATGCATGCTTGTGTGCGCGTTCAGCGTTGCGCGTAGCGCGTATTGTTCCAAAGATAGTACAGGCAATATACATTTTTTTCAACCACAGTGCATTTCTATAAGGTCCCTTAAATGATATTACTAAAAGTCTTAAGAAATCCATGTGGTGGAAATATGCCTTATTTGCATAAATCCAAAATGGCCGCATATATTAGGACTTTCGCATTGATTTGGTCATATTTCTCATACTAGGTAGATGTTGGAGGTACTTTAAACGACAGTTTTAGTCATTTTACATTGATTAACTTATTATTGTAGTCCTATGTAAATTTCAAGATCCCGATGTTTCCGAAATTTTTCTAAATTCCGTATAATTTGTATAAATGCCGTTTATCAATTTGTCTAAATTAAAGTTAAAATAATGGATGCCATGTGTGGACATGTACCAATTGAATTTTCCCTGATAATCCATGTAAAATTTCACAACACAGTCCATTGCTCTAAGGTCCCTAAAAAGTTGTGAAAAATCCAAGTGATGGAAATATGCCTAATTTGCATAAATTCAATAGAGTATAGGCCGTTATGTACTTTTGCATTTTTTTTTCAGTTTAAGAATGAATTTTTGTCATATTTGGAAAGAGTTTACCTCCCTAAGTCGATCGGATATGCATTGGAGACATTTTTTCCAAGCTACCATGTGGCGGCCATCTTGGATTTAAAAATGGCCGCCATTTCGAGCCTAATTTGAATCATGTAACTTCAGACCTGATTGTCACATAAGTGTTCATTTTTGATGGCAGACCCCATGTTTTGATACAAAAGAACCAGAGTACATTATTGTTTACGATGTACTCCAAATGGATGGCAGACATCTTGGATTTTGCCACTATTTTGAACTAATTTGCATATTCAATTCGCACTTGAATGCTGTATGAAGTCACTATTGGTGGCAAATCCCATAAATTTGATACCAAGGAATCCAATTAACACATTTAAGCATCCCAAATGGATGGCAGCCATATTGGATATTCAAAAATAGCGGCCATCTTGGATTTCATTTAAATAATAAGGTGGCACCTGAATGTCGTATGAAGTCCATTTTGGTGGCAAACTGCATGTTCTTGATACCAAGGAACCCAAGTTATAATCATTGTTGATGGGGTACTCCACTAGGAGTATACCCTATCAACAATGATTTTCTCGGGTTCCTTGGTATCAAAAACATGGGGTTTGCCACCAAAATGAACTTCATATAACAATCAGGTCCGAAGTTAGATACAAATTAGGCCCGAAATGGTGGCCATTTCCAACACGGCTGCCACTTTGGTAGATGGATACAAATGTTACTAATGGATTTCCAGCTTAGGAAGGTAAACTCTATCCATATATGAGAAAAATTCCTTCTTTAGCAAAGAAAAATGCAATGGCCAAAAATACGACATAATATATTATCTAATAACATTCGTCCTAAGTTGCTTTTCGGGGTACTTTAAACAACATTTTGTAATTTGACATTGGGGTCATTCAGTGTCAAATCACCCCCCCCCCCCAAAAAAAAAAAATAAAAAAATAAAAATAAAAAACCTACATTTTAAATTGGTTCATATTTATTTTATGGGGAAATTTCGGCTGAAAAGCCGACATTTTCAGTTTAAGCGCCATCGGACAAACGGTTTTTGCGCTACCGCCCAGGCAATTTTGGTCAAAATGAACATTGCTGCCATTTTTTAAATGACCATATCTCAATAATCTGTGAGCCAAATTTGTTAATCTTGATTTCTTTTGAAAGGTTACATCATGAGAAATCCAAATTTCTCATTGTTTTTCATGTCGAGGTTATTTGAAGTATAATTACATTTTGACCTTTTTTTCTGACCTTGAAATTAATGGATCACCCGACATTGAGACAAACTTGGATGAAAATTAAACCCCAACATGTTTTCTACAAAATATCAAATAGATAGGGTACAATATTTTTTGTTTGGTTTTTGGCTCATCTCTAAGTTGGCATACGTGTTGCAAAATGTGATATCCCTATGCAGTTTACTAGTGGATTTAAAGAAGGGATTTTTTTTCACTGAAATGAGTTCATGCACAGGGTATCACAAGACTGTTAAAATTATTCCTTATATTTTCTGAGTTGATTTATTAATCACTAAATTTGTACGGCCGTAAAGTGTTATGTAACTTCGGAGGTGGGTGCTAGGTGAATTATGCAAATCGTAATTCCTTTCCTTTGCACACCAATTTCGGGCTTGCACCTATGTGGGAGGGGTATAAAACCCTCGCCCAAGTATTTTTGGATTGAGTTTTGCGGTTTGTGGTTATTTCTTTCCCGATATATATAATTCGATTTTTGTGATTGATAAATTCTGTGTTGAATCCTCTGTTCTCTTAAGTTATTCTTTGATTTTTGGTCTGAATAGAGCGGCGCAAGGGTTCGCTCTGCGACACAGGGATATCACATTTTCCAACACTTATACCAACGTTGACAAGGGCTAGAAACCTAACAAAAAATATTATACCCCGTAGGAAACATAGGATTTCAAAAGGTACCCAGGACTGGAATGATGATCAAGTCAATGTCAAAGGACAAATGGTTGTTCAAAGTACCCCAAAAAGTAATCCAGGACGAGAGTTATGGCCAAATCAGAAATCATGTATTTAGTTGCCATTTTGAATTTATGCAAATTAGGCTTATTTCCACCACTTGGATTTCTTCCTTTTTTTAAGGAACCTTACAGCAATACACCATGGTGTGAAATGTATCTATATACATGACTGAACTTAGATTATCAGGGAAAATTTAATTGTGACATGTCCACACATTTTAACTTTAATCTATGCAAATTAATAAATACCATTTACGCAAATTATTATCAGCATATCGCAAATTTGGGAATCATAGGGATAATGAAAGTTATCATGGTCTAGAATAAGGAGTAAATCAATGTAAAAGGACTAAAACTGATGTTTAAAATACCTAAAAAGCTACCTAGTATATGAAATATGACCAAATCAGTGCGAAAGTCCTAAAATATGCGGCCATTTTGGATTTATGCAAATTAGGATTTCTTAAGACTTTTAGTATGTCATCTTAGGGACCTTAAAGAAATGCACTGTGGTGAAAAAAAAATCTGTTGCAATTTGTTTGAGGTTCACTCAAAAAATGAAGTGTTTTGCCTGGTCTAAGAGCCAGCGCTATACAGCGTTGGGTTCAAACATTTCTGTGAAGGGGTGTTTTGGAAGAGAGAATACATTTTCCTCCGGTTTTGTATTTAAAAAAAGTTCAAATATATCAAATGTCAGTTATATAAAACAAATATCGAGCGGCTTTTAATTGTAAAATTGGAGGAATATTATTGCTCGGTAAAATCTGTTCTTTTCCAGTTCACTCGGCTTCGCCTCGTGAAATGGAAAAGTCCAGATTTTACCTTGCGATAATATTTTATCCATTTCACGAGGCGAAGCCTAGCCTTGTTCAATGCGGTCTCTCGGCTTTTTGTCGAAGGGAGATAATCGGGCCCTGCACCCACAATCAACGCGGCTACGTGCGTGTACGACCCTTGTCCGTACGAACGGCTAACACAACCAGCAAGCATGGTGTAATAAGGCAGTAAATGTCCCTACTGTGTTCTGCGTGTGGGTGTGCGTACGTGCGTGTGGGGGATATACGCGCCGCGTGGCCTGTCGAACGACCGCCTTGTTGGGTCTGCAACTTCCGGGTTTAATGTCTTTCTTTACCTTTTCGTCCAGTTTTGGAAAAAAATGGGCGGGCTTCAGGATATGCGGGTATGCCGTGATTATTATGTAGGTTCGTCTTGGACCAATCACATGAAACAACCTTCCCAATAGTATGATTAATTCATGTTTAAGCTGACCAATCGTAAGCTTCACAAGAATCATGTGACGTCGCGCGGCATGCATAATGCATTAGTCATCATGGCGTCTTCCATGTCTTTTTAGCGAGAGCGAAATGTTCGTCACTTTTTCAACAATTTGACATTGATTCGAGTTTTTCGGCTCGTGTAATGAATCCATTTGAGTGGGCAACGATCCTCTAATGACAGCATTACCTGCAGAATTCGTTGGAGCCTTCAATACTGCTTCGGACAGACTGGTACTGAACGACTTTCACCCACAGCAACGGGCCGCCATTGCAGCGTTTCTTCGCGGATGCAACGTGTTTGTTAGCATATCGCGGGCTGACCAATGAGAATTCAGTATATACGCGGGGGTGGTACCTCATTACCGTAATAGGTTTTGCTGGGTCAACTCAAAACCATCAAGGCGTTGGGTTACGCGGACTAGCTCATGCATGTACTGTGTGTGCATGGCTGTTGTGACTGTACGTGCGTACGTGCAAGCATAGCCTCGCTGTATGGTACAAGTTACTTTCTCACTAGCAGCGTACGGGCATCGATATGTGCACCCAATTATGCCTTGCCAAGTTGATTAGGGATTTTCTTATCGGCGATTTTTTTTTATCGGCGAATCGATAAGCCCAACGCCTTGGTCAAGGCTAGGCGAAGCCGAGTGAACTGGAAAAGAACAGATTTTACCGAGCGATAATATTCCGCCCATTCCACGCTGAGCCACTCGATATTTGTTGGTCTGGTTCCCAGGCCAACAGATTCTGACTATTCCTGATGAATCTAAAGCCCCTGTCACACCTTTGCGTATCCTAATTCCTTATGAGTTCCTTATCACAAATTTTCAATACGCAGCCGTACGCTCAATTATCGTCGACATGTTTTGATCACTTTGACTTATGTGCGACGCACATCTAGCGTACAAGTAACAAATTCAGCGCATGCATTGC